CTAGCTTATTGATCGAGAGGTATCAAGGTAGAGCTGTTTGGTCGCTGCAGTCCCTAAGAGTTCTTTCCTTTTTATTCCACTGTCATTTTGTTATCCGAACAATATTGTATTTCGATTTTTGAGATCTTTTTATGTATTCAGTTAGAGTTCGTGACTATGTATTACCTAGTCTTAGGAGGTTGTTGTGATTATTGTCATGTATGCTTGTTTCACCTTTATTTTATGTTTTATATTAAATAATATTTTAAAATATCATTGTTAAACTGGCTTAATTGTTGTAAGTAATCGGATTACCTAGTCTTAGAGACTAGGTTCCATCACGATGCCTAAGGCGGCATTTTGGGCCGTGACACAATGGCCTAACCACAGCTGGTATAAATGCAAAACTACCCATACTCTCTGCCTTTGTACTCAAGACGTCAGCTACCACACTCGCTTTCTCTGGATAATACAATATAGATATCATAGTCTTTTAACAACTCTAATCATCTCCGATACCTCAAATTCAAATCCTTCGCTTAAACAAATGTTGGAGACTTTGATGATTAGTGTAGACCTCAAATGATATGCCTTATAAGTAATGCCTCCAAATCTTGAGTGCGTGCATAATAGCTACCAACTCCAAATCATGAATAAGGTAATTCTTTTCATGGACCTTAAACTGTCGAGATACGTAGGCAATCACCTTACCATCATGCATCAAAACTATGCCAAGCCTAATGTACAAAGAGTCACAATACATAGTATAAGGCCCTGAACCTGTGGTCAAAACTAGCATTAGGTTTGTAGTCAAAGTAGCCTTGAGCTTCCGATAGCTCTCCTCACACTCATCAGACTATCTAAAAAGGAGCACCCTTCTGAGTCAACTTGGTCAATGAAGCTGCAATGGATGATAACCCCTCAACAAAGCGGTTATAGTAACCCCCAAACCCAAGAAACTTCGAACCTCTGCAGGTGAAGTAGGTCTAGGCTAATTCTGACTCTTGAATAGGACGTGGAAATGAGTCTAGATTTACCAGTCATCCCCAAGAAAGGTAGTTTCAAGTACCTCAGATCTATTATCCAAGATAGTGGAGAGATCCACGAGGATGCCACATATTAGATCAAAGCGGGGTAGATAAATGGAGGCTTATAAATGGAGGCTAGATTTCAGAGTTTTGTATGATAAGAAGGTGCTACCAAAACCTACAAGTAAGCTCTACAAAGTTATAGTTAGACCGACTATAATGAGTCGACTGGTCACTTTGAGCATTTGTATTCTGTTCAGTTGTTTGAAGTCTTGAATATCTCCGTATAATGTATTATGACTTGTGTGAATCGTCGGTTTTGGTTTTTAGGTGATTCAGAATTAGTTTGGAAAAATGAATTTCATGTTTGAAGCTTTAAGTTGGAAGAGTTGACCAAGTTTGATTTTTATGTTTTTGACCTCGGATTGGAGTTTTGATGGTTCCATCAGGTTCGGATAGTGATATTGGACTTAGGCGTATGCCCATATTTGCATTTGGATGTTTCGAGAAGGTTTCCGCACTATTTGGCGAAAGTTAGAAATTTGAAGGTTTGAAATGTTTATAAGTTTGACTGAGAGTTGACTTTGATGATATCGGGTTAGGATTGTGGTTTTGGGGATTGGAATAACTTTGTTATATCATTTGGGACTTGTGTGCAAACTTTGAGGTCATTCCGTGTTGATTTGATATGGTTCGACACGGGTTTTAGAAGTTGAAAGTTCAAAAGTTCATCAAGTTTTATTTGAGGTACGATTCATAGTTTCGATATTGTTATGTGTGATTTGAGGCCTCGAGTAGGTCCATGTTATGTTTTTGAACTTTTTGGCATGTATGGACGGGGTCTCAAGGAGCTCGGGTGAGTTTCTGACGGATTTTGGCTCATTTTGGCACTACTGTGTTCTGGTGTTTCAGTTCCTCGTCGCGATTGCAATTAGGAGACCGCGATTGCGTAATGTATTATGCGAGCTGGGTGATTTACTTCATCACATTCGCGACTTGGTGATCGCGTTCGTGTATGTTGGGAGGACTGGTCTTCTTCGCGTTTGCATTTGCTTCTACGCGTTCACGTAGTGTTTTGGCTAAGCTGGTTAGTCAATGGTTTCTTTTTTGCTTTCACAACGATGCTCTTGCTTTCGCATAGTTATCTCAGCTTTGTGTATCGCATTCTCTAGTCTTGTGCCACGAACGCGTAGAGTTAATTGTGGCAGCGTATATTTGTGGATCGCGGTCGCGTAGAGTACCATTGGTCGTGCATATAAGTACTCTATTCCGGACCTTTTATCATATTTTGAGTTGGAGAGCTCGGATTTGGGCGATTTTTGGAAAGGATTTTCACCACATGGATTGAGTAAAGGACTTTCTACTCGGATTTGATTATATTTTATGATTCTATCTTCGATTTTGGCATTTGGATTATGAATTTTAAAGGGAAATTTGGGGGGTTTTTTGCCTACACTTTCATAAAGTGAATTTTTGAGTTTTGAACGTTGATTTAGAGTCAGATTTGAGTGAAATTAGTAGGGTTGGGGTCGTAATTCAATGGGTTACTGGAATTTGTGAGTTTTATCGGGTTCCGAGGTGCGGGACCGAGGTTTGACTTTTTGGTTGACTTTGAGTATTTGATTAAAAATTTAACCTTCGTCGATTGGGTTTGTTTCATTGGGCATTTTTTGATATTTTTGAGTTATTTTTGGCTAGTTTCGAGTCATTCGGATGTCGATTTGTGCATGGTGAAGCTTATAGAGTATTGTTTGGCTTGCTTGAGGTAAGTATCTTATCTAAACTTAGTTGAGGTACTAGTTGCCTGAATTATTTATGATAGTTACGTGCTATATGTGTGCATTTGTGTGGGGTTTGAGCCCATGTGCTAGCACCAGAGTGTTTATCCACGCTCGAGGTAGTTTTTAGGCTATGATATGCCTAGAATTGATTGTTATGCTTTAAGCTATAATGTTTCTCGTATTTGTAACATTGTTGTGAACTATTTGAATCATGTTTGAGGTTACAAAGAAGCTAATTTCCTGAATAAACTTGAAAATTATTATTTTTGTGATGAAATTGTTGATTTGAGCTATGATAGCACGCTTTGCACATGCCTATAATTTAGCACGTCATTTATACCAGTCTAGGAGCATGACATCTGTTATTCATTCATCACATACATGTATTCTTGTTTATTTTCTCATGTGTGATATGATTGGGCTAGATGTCTATGACCCCGTCATTATTACATTTCATCTTTACTTGCAATTTCCTTGACTGTTTACCCGCTTTACTTGCATATCTTTCTTATATGCTAGATTGTTGACTGAGAAGAATACTTTAAAATAATGAATTGTAAGCGTCAAGATGGTTTTACCTGAGATTTCCTGGTTTGATCATATATATGTTCTATACTTATTGAAATTATGAGTTGTATAGATGATACCAGGTATCATTTATAATTCTTGCTTTTTTTACTTCCCGAGGTTAGTTAAGATACTTATTGAGTACATGGAGTCAGTTATACTCATACTACACTTCTGCACCTTGCGTGCAGATTTTGGAGTTGATGTTGTTGTGTATGGCGGGAGCTAGCAATGAAGATATACCTGTATTCCAGTTATGGCTATCACTTGTCCTTGGTAGCTTTATATTTATATTCTGCTAATGTACATTCCAAACAGATGTTGTAATTATTTCATTTCCGTTTTGTAAATCTAAGTCTTAGTGGCTCATAACTTATACTACCAGTCCTTGGGTTATTTATAAAAATTCAATTATTTCATCATTTATTTCATGTTACTTTTATTTGGATTGTGTTTATGGATACTTGGCTTACCTAGCGGGTTGAGTTATGTACCATCACAACTAATTGGATTTTGGGTCGTAACACCGACTATATTGTATGGGACGGAGTATTGACCTGTCAAGAACATACATATCTAGAAGATGAAAGTAGCAGAAGTGAGGATGTTGAGATGGATGTGTGGCATATCAGGAGAGATAAGATTAGGAATGAAGCTATTCGAAACAAGGTGGGAGTGACCCCGTGGAAGACAAGATGTAAGAAGTTAGAATGAGATGGTACAAACATGTGAAGAGGAGGTGCATAGATGCTCGAATTAAGGGGTGTGATAGGTTGGTCATGGTGGGGCTAAGAGAGAGGTAGAGGTAGGCCTAAGAAGTATGAAGAAGAGGTGATTATGCATGACACAGTGCTGCTCCAGCTCACTTAGGACATGACCCTTGATACACGGGTGTGGAGGTTGAGAATTATGGTAGAAGGTTAGTAGATAGGCATGCATGTCTCCTTTGCATGTTGGTAGTGTTATTCTTGTGTCATATTTTAGTAGCTTCCTATCCGTGGATTTCTTTTGCTATATCTTGTTTCTTTCCATTTAATTATTCTATAACCTTATCATCTTATCGCCTTTTCTCTTTATCTTGCTGTAGTTACACTTGTTGTATCCGCCTCTTTTAATTTTCTTTGAGTTGGGGTCTACCAGAAAAGATACTCTCAATCTCCACAAAGGTCGGGATAAGGCCTGCCTACATTATACGCTCCTCAGATCCTACTTTGTGGGATAACAATGGTGTATGTTATTGTTGTTGTTTTTACTCTATATTAGTCAAAATTCCAATAAAATATGCTCCTTCTGTTTCAATTTAAATGATACATTTTGCTTATCGAGAGTCCAACTATATAAAGTTTGACCAACATTTTAAAATATATTTTGTTATCAAATTAACATGAGAAAAATTGTAATTTATAGCACTTTTCGTGTAGTTTTTGAATATTTTAATTTTAATTTTAAAATATTAAGTTGAACTAATTTAATTTAGCTTCAAAATTTAATCAAATTAACTTTGGATAAACAAAATGTGTGATTTAAATTTGAAACAAAGGAAATACTTAATAAATTTACTATCCTTTGACCATCAAATCGTAGTTCTTAGTTTAAAATGTTGAGCCCATGCTTTGCATGTTCTATTTAGGGACTGTGATTTTGCCCTTTTGTTTTGCCTATTTTTGTCGTGTAGTAGGCAGCATTCAAAGAAAGCTTAAAGTAAATCAGTAGGCAGACATTCTTCTTCTTCTTCTTCTTCACAGTCTTTGAGGTCCCTGGAGACTATCAAAATCAACCACCATGGAAGCTGATAAAATGTGAGAGACTTTCTAATAATATTATATTCCAGCTGCTTCTCTTACACTCTTCTTGCATTTTTGTGGGTGTACTTCATTTCCTTGTTAAATTTCTTTTGTTGTATGCATGTGATTTTGGGTTCTTCTGCTTTTACATCTATTGGAGATGGGGTTTCAGCCATCACTTTTTTATTCTGGTTCTTAGCCTCTTTCTTCATATAAAAGGTAATGGCCTCTCTTAGTGGCAAAGCCAGAAATTTTTACAAAGTTGTTCATACTTGAAAAGAAGTAGGGTGTTAAACATATATTATATACCTTTAAAATCCAATATTTTACCTATATATATAGTATAATTTTCCGACAAAGGGTGGTCAAATTGACCACCCTTACAAGGCTCTAGCTTCGCCCTGGGCTCTGTATGTGGATGTTTTTTTCTCTCTTGCTGAATGGGTATTGTAATGATTTCTTTGTGGGTTTACGTCTAATAATGTGGGTTTTAACCCCAATGGATGTTTTTAAAAGTGATATGTGCTTTTTGTAGATTATAGTGCTTTTTGTAGATGCTTGTGGTTTCCTGTTATTCTTGACGTCTTGTTTTACATAATATCATAATGTAGATTTTTCGCTTTAAGTTTTAATTTTGATGGACAACTCACAACAGGTTGGATATTTATATACATGATTATCTAGTGAAGAGAAAACTAGGTGCTTCCGCTAGGACATTTAAAGCTGAAGCACAAGTTGTCACCAACCGTACTGGTAAGTAATACAACCAGTTTAGTTCCTTCAGCTTTTCCAATTTTGATTTTGGCTTTCTTGAATAAACATTTGTTTTCCAGCTATAGATGCTCCGGCTGGTTTTCTTCTTGAATGGTGGTCAGTCTTTTGGGATGTTTTCATTGTTCGGTTTAAGAGCCCTGTTTCAAGCACTACTGGATCTTACAATGCGGTATGCTTGCAATGTGTTACACAGTTTTAACAACTAGTTTTGTCCTATTTATGTGTGTCCATATGTTTATAAAAATCACATTTTAATGTATTTTTCTAAAAAATTTATTTTCAGCTGGCCTGGCCGATTTATACAAAGTGTTAAAGTATCTATTTTCCTGATTTTGGGGTTGCAGGTTCAAATGATGAAAACATTGGAACAACAACAGCAACAGAAGGGTGTCCTACAAAAGCAACAGCAAGGTGACGATACTCAGCTTCTCAGGGGGACTACCAATGAGGTTATCACAAAACAAAGTCCAGGGACAACAAATGCTTTAACCAAAAGGGTTTACGAGAATTACCCTCCAGCTCAGAGGAATCCCCTATCTGAGGCTAATAAGGTGTGCGAAACTTAAAGTTATAACAATTGCTCTACTAGTTCTCTCATTCCTGTCCTCCTTTTTGAGCCATCATATCTGAATCATTCTTTCTTCATTTTTATTTTTATAGACACCCGCAAACACAAGGAGTAGTGGAAGTTTTGGTCAGCATTTAGATGCAAATCACAGCGTCATATCAAATCTGGATACCTATGGGGACCAGCACTCGGGGTACTCTGTTTGAACCAAGTCTGCTGGTGCTCTCATGGCAGGACGTCTGTTTACCTTAGTGTCATTGTTGTTTTATTTCAGGCAAATACAACACAGTGTTCCTGGTGGTAATTTAAGTTTTTTTCCTCCACTAATTGATCAAGATCAGCAACTCCGTGTCCCTCAAGTAACTATCTTCCTCCTGCCAAAAAGCAAGTATAAAAATGGAATGATAAATAGAAATATATAAAATACTAAGAAACCTGAGAAAAATAAACATTTCTCATAAAAAAAAGAAGTGGAAAGGCAATTGATAGCAACATTTTGCTCTAACTGCTTAGTTTTTCTGTTGTCTGAAGCTGGACCAGAGCTTAACAAATATGATGAATCCATCTTTGAATTTCAAAGCTGCCGAGTCAGGTAAAGCACTCACTGAAGTTTCTGGTATTAACAATTAGCAATTAAATCCTTTATTGAAGTAATGAGCTTTGAACATATGGTTTTCCTGTTTGAGGTTTTAGATGCGGCATGTTTCTAATTATAGCAAAGGAACCCTAATTCTAGAGAGAAGAAAAAATAGAGAGCAAGTTTAGGAAGGGAAAAGGAACCCTAACTTTAACTATCATTAACCTACTAACAACCTATAACAGACTCTAACTAATCTCTAACAGCCTGTCACTTGGATAAGTGCCACATCAGCTACAGGTCAAGTCACACCCTTCTCAACAAGATGAAAGCAAATTCACTTTAAACAATAATCAAAATTGTCAATATTGTGTCAGGTTAAACTAGATAGAATCATTTTGAATGATGACTGCCCGTGATGCAGTAAAAGTCTCTTCTTTGTGATTTGAAGTTAAAGTAGGAGCTTCTGCTTGTTTATGAGTGCTCTAAACATGATGAAGACCAGTGTACTGCTGTAGCATGAATTTGTGAAGATTAATTTTAGCATGAAAAAAATGAAGATCTGTTCTATTTCTTCCAGAAAAGTTAATTTCACTTTTCTCTTGAAATTTAAGTCTTGATAACATGCATAAACTTGAATGATTATTGGTCAAGAATTAATAAATAATGGTGTTCGACCTTTGAGTTTGTTTTCTACCAATGTTTTTTTCAGTTGTATGTTTATCAGTCTAGCTTCGATATACCCCTCCTCCATCCCATTTAAATGAGAAAAAGGGAGAATGGTGTAGCTAATTCACCTTCTTATTTGATTCAGGAGCAGATCATGGAGTAAACAGTTTGCTTTTGAAAGGATGGCCCTTTATGGTAAGGTTATTATCTGTGCTTTTTCCAATATCCACCAAAATGTAATGTTGAAGAAAGTCCAATAATCAGGCTGTAAAATAGTTTTCAAGGTGCTGAAGCACTCAACTCTGTGGTATATGAAAGTCACAATGACATGATTGAATATATCACTTAAGAGTGAAACAATGCTTATCCATGTCCTTTTAATTATAAAATGATAGTAACTGTACATGTTCTTTTGGAAATTTTCTCCTTCATTGGGTACTTAACATTAGAGAAGCTTTTCGCTAGTTGTGAAATCTGCAATTTTGTTCACAGATGTTCGAAGCCTATGGCATATATCTGGTCAATATACGCTGGATGTTGGACATGAGTGTATCTTAGGTGTTTACAGAGAAATAAAGTGTTATCACTTGATCCCAGAAATATTTTTGGAAGAATGTGGAAGTATTTCCTTTTATTATGCAATTGCGTATATTTTCATCTATAGTCGTAGACAAAATTTGCATCTGAGGACTCTAACGAGTGTAATTTGTTCAGTTCCCTAAAACGTTTCTTGAACCACGAGAAGACCAGAAGCATTCAGATCGAAATTAAAGCACTTTTGTCCAGCTTCACTTGGCTTTTATTTGTAATTGAACGTAGTGAGTATAATTAGTTGAGTACCCTAAAATATAATTTGAACCTAAGTTGCTCGGACTCCTCACTTTTCATGTTGCATCCGTGTCGGCACAACGTGGTGTGGGTGTGGAATCCGTACCGGATCTGGTCAACTCATTTTGGGTAATTTGACCAAAATAGATGGAGAAATTCGTGACAGATATAATGATTTTTTAAATCAAAACAGAAGCTAGGGTGAAATTGAAGAAAATGGAATACCTCGTATATAGAAATTTCTACGTCAATCCTTTTCCTATTATCTGCTTCTTGGATTCTCCTCTTGATCACTATTTTCTGCTTCTCGGAATATCTTGTAAGTTTTCCGTATAGCTGAATCCCCACATCCGTATTAGTATCTGGATCCGTACCCCCGAATCTTCATTAAGGATCCGACCTCTAGATCCGCACCCATACCGGACACTCTCACCCAAGTTCGAGCAACCTAGATTTGAACCACGAGAAGATCAGAAACAGTCAAACAGAGAAAGAAAACATTTTTTTGAGTCTTTAATGTCGCTATAATTGGACTGAATTTGTGCAGTTCCAACATGCAACCTGTTTACAATTGACACTGGCATGGATGCTTTCTATGTACTGACTAATATCCCCGTATATAGGGACTAGAACAGCTTCAGTCTGGACTTATTCAGCAACAAAGCTCTACTACTCACCTGTCTCATCCCTCCCAACAGCTTCAGCAACAAGTTCATATGCTGCTTAGTGACCAGTATATGGATATGAATCAAGGTGACCTTTCAAACTTCGGCGGGAACATAGTATTGGACAGAGATTTGCCAGTTCAAGTGGGTCTTCCCCTTTTCTCTCTCACAGATTCAGCTATGCTGAAGGTTCCTGTTTTATTTGATATACTTAGTATTTGATGTCTTTAGAAAGATATCTATTCTTGTAAAAAAGTGCTAGGGAAATGATGAGCTTATGCTGCAATTGCAGAACACTAATCAAAGTCAGGAACAAGGTCAACGGTCTGCACTTCTTGGCAAGCATCCAGAAAATCCTAGTTCCAGCATCCAACAACAAGATAAGAGCGTTGCTAGTGGCAGCACCACCATGGAGGTTAGCTTGTTAAACACCTCTGGAGGTGATGATCAGGTTAGCTTTTACCTCAGACCCATTAAATATCCTATCCATTAGAGTTATTAATTGTTCATATGAAGTTGGAGGAGTAATAGGTGCGATTGTTTCGTGTAATGTGTACAAATTTCAAATATTCCTACAAACCCTGCATCCCTCTCCCCATATAATTTCCAACAAGCACTTTTTGAATGAGTTTCTGTCATATATTTTCTTTCAGTTTAGCACATACTATTAAATTTCTATAAATGTCTTTGTTTTTTCATTATTATTATTATTGATGGATTATTTGTACAACGATGAAGTAATGAGTGCCATGATGTATTCCAGATGTTCCTACTTTACCCAGCAGTAAGCTTTNTCAAATAGATTATTATCCTAACCCCGCTGGACACCCAATATAGTTTGGATATGAAAATAGATATTTTAGCCTAACTCAATCCCAAAAGCTAGCTAATAAGGTAAGGATTGACCAAGACCATATGCAGAGACAACATCCCATTCTCTCAACCAATGTGGGACACTTTACACCGACATCTGGAGCGTGACAACATAATATGGGCCCAACTTGGGTTAACCAAGAATAGAGATGGGTTTGACTCTGATAACATGATACGAAAATAGATCTTCTCCTAACTCAAACTCAAAAGCTAGCTTATGAGGTGATGATTGCCCCAGAATATATAAATAGACAACATCTCGTTCTCTTAACCAATGTGTGACACTTTACAAATTCTAATGATGGCTCTATGAGATTTACTGTTAAGACTTACAGATTAACTTCATCGTCAGATTTCATTGAGTTTCATATCATTAGGTATATTTGTTCAGTATCTTTGTTCTTTTTTCTTAGTTCCCTACTTTGATGATTCTTAGCGAAATTTTGGTGTCACTGATTCAAGTGAAGTTGTGTCTGATTTATATTTGTGGCTATTAGCTGACATTGCTATCCATCATATTCTTACATATGTGAAAGTTTAGTGAAGGATATACTTTTGTCCTTGTACTATGGCGTCCTCGTGTGATTTCATTATCATGTTTACTTCAAAGAACCATGCTACGAAAAAGAGAAAGCAGTTCATGTCGTCAGGTCAGACTAACAGCTTAGGGACTGCAAACAACACCAGTCTGTTACCAAGTTCGGCGCCCACTACACTGCCAGTACCCAGTGCAGAAGATGTGATATCGATGCCTGCATTGCGTCATGATGATAATTCTTATAAAGCTTGTGTTTATGTCAGTGATGCTGTTTTCTCACCTACATTGGTATCAACTGAAATTGTACGGATTATTTCCCCTATTACTTACAATTTGTTGAGGACTCTGTGCAGCCAGGATTCAATTAAAAAGTTTCCCCTTTTTTTCCAATTAATTAACTAATCTCATAGTATTAATCAGCTAGTCAAATAAGGATAATGTGCTGGGGAACAAGTTTAGTCTGATTTTCTTTGATTGACGCCATAAAAGTAGTATTGCATCGGGAAATGCCTGGCTGTCACTCTTCTAATATTCTTGTAATGAGATAATAGAAACAGTAAACAGATAGCCCTGAGTGAATTTGGTACAAAGGAAATGCTAATCCAACCATGGATTATATCAATATATGATGTTCAATTTTCATGCGAAGTCTTTACTTGATATCTTAACTCCACTGGTTTCACACACCAGGAGAAAACTAAGTCAAACTTCCAAAACAGGCCAAGACTTCAAACTGGCTTTAATACTATATTAACATAATATCAATCCATGGCTTCTCAGTGTTGTCCGTACTTGTTTTCTTTTCATTAATGTGGTGCTTATGCTTTCCTGAGCGAAGGATCTATTGGAACCAGTTTCTCTATTTCCACAAGATAGGGGTAAGGTCTGAGTACACACTGCCCTCCCCAGACCCCGCTTGTGGGATTATATCCATTGTCCTCATTCTTTCTCCAAATTAAGAGATGGTGGTTCTATTGATGCACAATCAAACTAACCAAATATGTCTGCGAATGCAGGCTGATGTTGTTCCTCTCATAAACCATGGATCTGTGGATAGCTCTGTAGAGTTCTTCCTTTCTGACAATGCAGATACTGAAAGCACAATCTCGCGTTGCTTAGGCACCAGTAAATGTTTCAACTGATGCTGACTTCAATATATTGGCTTTTTCTGGATGTGCTGTTTGCTACTCTTGCTATTTACTTTTCGTTCTTTTTTCTGCAATATAGATATTGCACTCTTGGAAATTGGGACTTTCCGTTCCGGTACAGTTAATTGCTGCGATCTTTCATCAGATGGAAAGCTGATAGCAAATGGTGAGGATAAAAAGGTAGTGATATTGAATCTTGAGGTGATAAATTATCTTGTATTCAAGAAACAGTCTTACAAACCAGTGAAATTGGTGGGGATAAAGAGGTAGTGATATTGAATCTTGAGATGGTAAATTATCATGTATTCAAGAAACAGTCTTACAAACCAGTGAAATAAGGAGTTCATATCTGAATTGTGGTTAGCTGTTGGGGTCCTTTTGGGTGTTATAGTTTCTACTCTGCAATGGTGTAGGTTGTATTATGGTGCACAGATTCACAAGAGCAAAAGTACATACTTGAGGAACACTCTGATGCAATTACAGATGTTCGGTTTGGTCCAAGATTGCCACGGCTTGCTTCTTCTTCCCTTGATAAGACTATCAAAATTTGGGATGTTCACAATGTAAGTCATTCTATGTCTTCATTACTCGGATGATAGGACTATTACTCTTCAATCGTGATAGAACATTCTCTCAGATGAATCTCTGCGTATTGGTTGGAAATTTTCTGCTCAAATTCAGTGTATCTGTGAATTTAGACGCTGTTCGAATCAGCTGAAACTATATATATATATATATATATATTTTTTTTTTTTAGATGGTAACAATTTTTATATTCAGAAGCACAAAGGCTGTGCTGGCCATAATTACAGAGGAATGGACCAAACTATATAACTAAAATTCCTATCTTCTTACAGAGTCCCTAAAACATCTATTAAAGCGTCTGTGTCCACTGTGTATTCTTGTTTACACCAAAAATGAATAATAGTAGGCAATTCATTTTTATCTTCTGAGTTGAGCTGGCATTGTCTTCAAAACATATTGAATTTCTCTCTTTCCAGATAGTCCACCATATGCAGGCAGGAATCAGATCCCAACTATTCTTCTCACTTGCACTTCTTCTCACCTTATTCCAGCATCACAGCATGTCCTTGGTGCTATTTGACATGACCCAGTGTATCCCTGTTAGAGCTAGGAATATGTTCCAAATTTGAGCAGTCACTGTGCAGTGTAAGAACAGGTGACTATTAGTTTCTGCTTTTCTTCCACATAGATGACATCTTGAGCACAATTGCACACCCCGTTTCTTCAAATTGTCCTGTGTTAAACATGCCTGTTTAACTACCAACCAAACAAAACATGCCACTTTGTAAGGGATCTTGACTTTCCATATGTGTTTCCATGGCCAAAGATCAGTCATTATGTTTGTTTGATTAAGTACTTGATAAGAAGATTTAACAGAGAACCTTCCTGAACTGTGCCCCAGCCACCATGCCTTATCAACATTCAAATTCACCCCCGTAAACTGATTGAGTGTGTTGTAGAAGTCTGTGATTCTGGTGATCTCCCAATCATTTAAAAATCTTCTATAAGTGAGATTCCATCCTTGAGCTGACCAAACATCGTAGATAGTGGCCTTTTGTTCTTTGACGGAACACTGTCAATCCATTTGTACATGCACTTAACTTAATTTGTTTTGATGAATTTTGATAAGTATAGTTCAAGCCCGTAAAAATTAGAGTTTGTCGTATCCTTGCAGCCAGGCCACTCAATACGATGTTTTACTGGCCATTCTGCCTCTGTTATGTCACTTGACTTTCATCCAACCAAGGAGGACCTCATCTGTTCTTGTGACAATGTTAGTACAATTCGATACTGGAACATTAAGAATGGTGGTTGTGCAGGAGTGTCAAAGGTATTGATAGACCTTTATTTGATACCTCAATCTAGTAGGTTCAGCTGCGAAATGATGATATTCTGGTCCCTATTTCTGTATTTCAGTAACAGAATCTTTTATGTACATCACTACTTATCAGCTCCCACAAATTTCAGGTTGGTGCAACTGTAGTTAGATTTCAGCCTAATCGTGGGAAGTACCTTGCAGCTGCTGTTGCGAATGGCGTATCGTTAATAGATGTGGAGACAACTCAAACCTGTAGATATCCTTTGAAGGTTGGGCCATTTTCGCACCACTTTCGTTTCCCTAAGTTTTTAAAATTGTTTTGTATTTTAAGTTTTTAATATGATATCTCGGAATATATTTTCAAGTTTTCGCTACATTCACCTGTGCTGATGCTTTTTGATCTTTTTTCCAAAAACCGTCATTATATTGGCTTGGTCAACCTCTTCTCAGTCGTTCTATTTGCCCCACAAAGTCTTATGTATTCTAATTGAACCAAAACTTCTACATTGCATCCCGTGGCAGGCAAGGTAGAAAGCCGAGTGGAGGGTTTCTTTTTTAGCTTTTCCCTAAATAGCTCAGGTTATAACCGACTGGAGACTGAAACCTGTGAATGGGTCATTTTGGACACTTGAATATCTGACCATTTTCATGGGCTTATAAAAGTAGAGTTTCCTTAGGATATTGGCTTCTGTGTTGCAATGTAGTGATCTACAGAATGACATTAGATTTAATGATGAGCACAACTTGAGTTCTTTTCCTCCTTTTGCATTATGTTGTTGCTTCTTGTATCCTATAAGTGACTTGCACCTTCTTATTCTTAACTAAAGCTTGCTACATGATCTTATGATGATCAAAGCATTTCAGGCCTTTCTAGACTTAATTATACTGCAATGTGTTAGTGATCCATGCTCTTATAGTTTTTTCTGTACCTTTATGTGGTTTTGGCTTAAGCATTGTTGGTCTTTCTCTTAGCTTGCAATTTCCATCCGAACAATAAAGCTTCTACCTACACATTAATTTTATTGGAAATTCTTCCAGTTAATATCTGTTATTTTGAGGACTATATGATTTTTCCATATAGCTATATGTTTCAACATCTCCTATGAGACGCTAAATGATGCTCATTAGTTAACCATAGGCTCTCACTTTCTTAGCGGCAGTGCCAGATTTTGTCTAATTACTTATAGATTCTCTATTATCGTCATATTTATACGAGTTTTTATTAGGAAATGGGGGTAAGGTTTGCGTACACATTACCCTCTCCAGACCCACTGACCCACTGATGGCTGGGTTTTGTGTTGTTGTTGTTCAAGTTGTGACGACTTTTCTTTTTCTTTGGGGGCCTCTATGCAGGGTCACATTTCCAAAATCCAAGCTATATGCTGGAGCAGTTCCGGTGAGTATCTAGCATCACTCAGTGAGGATATGGTACAAGTTTGGAAGATTGGCTCTAGTGGAGAGCAACAGTGCATGCATGAGCGAAGCGTAAAAGGCAAAAAATTTCGTTGCTGCACTTTTCATCCTTGTTACCCTTCTGTATTGGTCCTTGGTTCATATCAGGTAGGTAGTTCTTTCTTTTTGTGTCATCAATTCTGTGAGTTGCATCCATTGGCTAATTATCACATGAACTCGTGGAGGTTCACAATTTATATGCAAAGTTGGTTGTTTCAATAACATCCTGACTGCATGTTCATTACATGCTGCAAGATAAAGAGAACATGCAACATTACTGTAANGGGGGTTACATGTAAGTTTCATGTGTGCTCCTTATTTTGGCCTTTCCTATGATTAATGGACTTTGGTTACTGATATTAGTTAACTTGTGTACATTCTAGTGCCTGGAGCTTTGGCATATGGCTGACAACAAGATGATGATTCTGCTTGAAGAACCTGTGAATAGTTTAGCAGCATCACGGTCCACTGGTCTAGTAGCTTCTGCCGGTGTCAACAATTTAATCAGATTGTGGAAGTGATATTTCCATCAAGTTCCAACATTATGTTGAAGTAAAGTTCAAGTACTGTTTATTATCAAAGGACTTGACCTGACAACTACTGATATATACCTTCAGATTAGATACTGTCCATAGTAGACTAACAAAGTCTCTTATTAGCAAGTGAAGATATGTTTTATCATGTTTTGCATTTACACCATCTGCTGTATACATGCAAACAAAAAAGTAATAGGGTTTTTTTGCTATGCGTTGGACGTTATGTCAGATGATACCTTATTAAAGAAAGGGAAAAGGGTCAGATTTACCTCTACTTACAAAAATAGTCTACCTTTAACATCCGTTATGCCGTGGGGACAAAAATACCCATGCCGTTAGCAAAGTTGTTAAGAATACCCATTGGTCCGTTAACCCCGTCAACGACAGCCAACATCTCATGTGGCATACATTTGTTTTTTGGGTAACTATCATTTGTATTAATCACCAAGCTATCTAATGAGAAAAATTATGTGGCATAGTTTTGATAGTTGTCCAAGATGAAAATTTTGTAACTATCTTCTCAATCTGGGGTTGTCATTGAATTATAGACAATTTCTATGTAGATAATGGGATATCAAGATACTTAAAAGGCAATTCACCACTCGAGAAACCAAAATGCTGAAGAATTCTTTCCTTTTTAGCTTGTGAAACTCCTCCAAAGTACATAACCCCTTCACCTATGCTAGCCTCTTAAACATCTGCTCAGGTATTCCATTTCAACATCAAACGGAAAAGAATACATATGATCCCCTTGCCTAAGCTCTTTAACAACATCGAAAGGTTGTGATGGTTCACCATTAATTAGGATGATATAATTAACACATTCAAGGACCCATGTTGTAAACTAGCTAGGAAAACCTAATTCTATCATTACTAGCTCTAAATAAACCCATTCCGCAGAATTATAAGCCTTTTGTGGGTCAATTTTAATTTATGACTTAACTAATTTATGAGCTAGAGTAGTGTTATCCCTATTTTTCTCCGAGGTATAAAACCAGCATGTGTATCACATATAACATCTAATATAACCTTTTTGATCCTTGATGTCAGCACCTTGGAGATCAACTTGTATAAGACAATACAACAGACAATTGATCTGTATCTTTGACAGTGTTTGAATTTTTATTTTTTGGTATTAGATTTATAACTGTACAATTAATATCCTTGTACATCTTTCAATCGTGAAAAACTCCTTTACAACCCTTATCGCTTCTTCCTTGATAATGTGCCATGACTTCTTAAAGAAAGTAGCATTGCGACCCTCTATTACTTCCGCGCACAGACTCAAGCTTCTACTGGTGAAACATGACATTACCATTCTTCATTGTCAGTCTGCTCATAGCTGGTGGTATTTGGGCTGCTGATCCCATCAAAGTTTTGTAAACTTGTACAATTTCATCTTTGATGTCTCCTAGTGTAGTTAGTTTGGATCCATCTAAAGCAGTAAGCTCCTTGATTTTGATTTGTTCCTCTGGCTCCTCTTTGAGCAAAGCAGTAAAGTACTTGGTATTTGAGTCACCAAGTTGTATTTATTTAGCTCTATGGGTGTGTTTGGTATACCGCAAAATGTTTTCCAAGAAAATATTTTATTGGAAAATAAGTAGTAATCTTATTCATTTTCCGGTGTAGGTACGCAAATTAAGGAAAATGACTTCTCAAGAGTATTAATAAATAATTTGGATATAATAAACATGAAGCCATAAACTTTCAAACCAACAACCTTCCGAACGCATAAATTTCATAAATNTGGGGTGGGTTGGTGAGGGTGGGGAAGGTTGAGAAGGAGTTTTGGAAAATGTTTTTCCTTCTCTGTTCATCAGGAAAATATTTTCCAAAACATTTAAGCCAACCAAACATGGAAAAATTGAAAAACATTTTCAGGAAAATATTTTCCTTCGTATCAAACACACCCTATATTTCTGCTGCATAATATTTTCCTCCACCATGGATTATTTTTCTAACTTCACTAAAGTAGCTTTTTTCTATTCTATTAGTTCATCATCCCGCTGGTAATTCATCTACTCTTGAATTACTATCAAATTAGACCCGACTTTAATAATCTTTGTGAGACAAATTTGAACTCTTCCATATTCAATTGCGTAAGCTCTGGCCTGATGGCCTTTTTTATATTCACACATTCCTCATTTTCCTATTAGCTAATTTTTTTGCCAGATATTTTTCACATAAAAGCCTGCTATGGTCAGCCCAACCATTGAAGAATCTAAAAGGAACTTTAACATTCATATAAGCTAAATCTAGAGTAAGTAGCATAGCTGAGTGATCAGAGATATTGGGCACATCATACTCCAGCACTACTTGACCCCATTGCATCATCCGTTCATAGTTACCAAAAGCTCTGTCCAATCTATTGCAGATTCTATTTGGGCCTTGCTATTTATTTGACCATGTATTGTGCTGCCCTTTACATGCTAGTTCATTCAACAATAAGTCATGTATGCAATATGAAAAATCTTTCACTTCAGAAAAGTGAACATGATTTCCAAAGATCCTATCATATGGATATAAAGGCATATTAAAGTTCCCACAAATGAGCCAAGATATAGTTACTCCTTGTGCTGCATCTTTCAAAGCAACCCAGAGGTTTTCATTTGTACAAAAGCATTGAAAGTTTGGAACCATAGATGACAAACAATAAACATTCAAATCTATCATTTCTACCTTTAACTTGAGAACATATCATTTGAGAGCATTTCCTAATCTTGTTCACTGTGTATGTGTTTGAATCTCAACTAAGCCAAATCTTGCCATTACTAGCAGTTTGCTAGTTATTTTGTAGGCCCTATATCCAAGTGTGATATACTTACAATTTCTATCCGCTTTATGCAGTTTAACTCTTGTTTCAATAAGTCAATTAATGCCATTATTTTTATGTCTCAGCTTCCACTGCTTATTCTCTTATTTGCTCCCGTCACATTCCAAAATACCCAAGTCATTAGAAAATATTTGTACCACCTCATCCGGTAGGAGGTTTGAGAAACTCTAGCACAACTTTGTAATACTTCAAAAGTATTCTTAGTTTTCACTGAGCTTAACACCGGAAAATTACTATCATTCAACTTAGGACTTGTATGTATGTAACGACTCAGCCGGTCGTTTTGTGTATTTATGTCATGTTTTCCTATTTGATATTTTCAGTATTCTTGATTGTTATTTTATAACTTGCGGGGGTGGTTGATTTGGTTTCGAGAAGATTTTGGAGTAAATTGGAATACATAGTTCTATTGTTGGAAGCTTAAGTTGTAAGAGTTGAACAAGATTTGACTTTCAAGTAAATGTCCTCGGACTTATGATTTGATGGTTCCAATAGATTCGTATGGTGATTTTGAACTTAGGTGTATGTTCGGATTTGGGGAGGTTTCTAGGGTGTTTTGAATCTAAGTGTAGAAAAGTAAATTTTTTAAAGTTTGGTAGGTTCATATGTTTGACCGGTAGTTGACTTTGATAATATCAAGTTCATATTTTTGTTTCAGAACGTGAAATAGGTACATTAATTCATTTGGGACTAGTATGCAAAGTTTGGATGTAATCCAGATTGGTTAGGCGTGAATCAAACCTTTGGTTTGAAGTTTAGAAGCTTATGAACTTAAAAGAAGTTTAACTTGAGGGTTGATCGTTGATTCATTAATGTGATGTTATCATATGTGTTTGGAAGCTTTGGATAGGTCCTTTAATTATTTATGAACTTGTTGGTATGATTGGACGAGGTCCCGAGTGGCTTAGGTGAATTTTAGACCACATGGAGCTTGTTGGAGATTGCAAATTTTTCGCTGGTGTTTGGAGTGCTTCGCGATAGCAGAGCAGGGCTCGCGATCGCGGAGGCTTATTTGGAGGCAAAATATTTTTGTTCTTCGCGTGTGTGGAAAGGAATTCACGCTCGCAATGATATGTGGCAGTTGCATAGAAGCAAAGCTTGCTGGGAGTTGGCTGGAGGTTAGCCTTTGCGTTCGCGGGAATGGTCTCGCGTTCATGTAAGCTTGGGGAACAAGTGCATCACGTTTGCAAAGGGTCAACCGCATTCGTGTAGGGCCTGTTAAGGTAGTAGATGTATTGTGCTTCGTGAACGCGAGTCTAGGGCAGCATTCCCGAAGGGTAGTGCTGGATAAACAATATTAAGTTTTTATTTTGGGATTTTAGCCCATTCTATCATATTTTGAATCCTTGACTTGGAGAAGGGCAATTTTTGAAGAAGGCTTTCATACAAGAGTTTGGGTAAGAGATTTCTACTCTATTTTGATATTATTTTAAGCATCTACATAGATTATTAACACATAAAATATGGAATTTTAAGGAAAATTTGAGGGTTTTTCTTACAACTTAAGAGAGTGAAAATTAGGGATTTGAGAGTCGTTTTGGACTCAATTTTTGAATCTGATCACATATTTGGGCTGGTGAAGTTATGGGTAGTCAATATCTACCCCTTGAATCGGGTTGTGATCATGTGATCTCGGGTTTACTTTTGTTGACTTTTTAAGAATTGAATAAAGATAGAAGCTTTAATGTTTGGAATTGATTCTTTGTCACGCCCCGAACTTGGGGGAGTGAGACCGGCACCCAGTGCCTTACCTATCCTTGCGTACCAACTTGCAACTAAGGGACTCTGAACATATGATGTCATACTTTTGGCCATGGGCCACATTGCAAGATGACATCGAATGCTGACTAAATATCAATATAAAACTTGGCCGACAAGGCCGTCATATTTATTACAGCCGACAAACCAACCAAATATACACACAAGGCCTGAAAGCCCAACATACTGTACTAACTGACAAAATATGTCCACAAGCCTCTACTAATGGATATACTGTGATCGGAACGGCTCTCCGACCTACTCATGACATATATACATATATATACAAGATATACATAAGGCTCTCGACCCGGAAACTCCGAAAGGCATGGAGCTTACCGATCAAGCTGAACTCGGGCAACACTTATTGAAGAGGCCTACTCGTCTGTCTGTCTGACCTGCACGCATGAAATGCAGCATCCCCAGAAAGGGGACGTCAGTACGAAATAATGTATTGAGTATGTAAGGAAATATACTGAAAGCTGAAACTAAACTGATAATATAATAAANCTGTATCTCGACCAACTGGGCTCGCTCATACGTGCTCGACCATAGTAGGCTCGGTATATAACTTCCCATCTGATCAGAGGTTGCCTAATAGGGGCCTGCCCATCGGTT